TGAACTTCTACATCAATGGAGCCATCTAACGTCAGCTTTTTCTGTGACAGCCCGTGACCGTCCTTTGTTCATTCCTGTGTTTATCTGTTCATCCACGGAGGGACACCTGCATTGTGCCAGTCCCCTGGCTACTGTGAACAGCAGCGCAGTGGGCATACGGAATGATGTGTTTCAGTCCCGTCTGCAGTTTTCTTGTACAGTAGCATCTGAGTGGACTCTGACACGTGGCAATTCTGTTCACCTCTTTTGGTTTTTTTGAGACAGGGTTTCTCTGTGTATCCCTGGCTGCTTACTCTGTAGACCAGGCTGACCTCAAACTCAGAGACCCGCCTGTCTCTGCCACCAGCGTGCTGAGATTAAAAGTGTGCGCCACCACCCAGCACTGTTCTTGTAGAAATCACAGACTTTTATTGTTTTTTGTTAGAGTCTCCCTGTGTAGCCCAAGCTGGACTTAATCTCCCTGAGTGCTAGAATTACAGGAGTGGACCACCACACACTGTTTAGGAACCTGTAATTCTGGGCCTATAAGATGGCTTAGCCAGTAAAGGCACTAGCAACAAAACCTGAGAATCTGAACATGGTTGCTGAGCCCCATATGGTAAAAGGAGAGAACTGACTTTTAGAATTTGTTCTTTGACTCTACATCTCTTCATGTATGTGCCACATACGCGCACGCATGCACGCGTGCATGCACACACACACACACACACACACACACGTAATTTTTAAAAAGAAGCCGTAATTCTTTTAATCCTTTATTTATTGAGATGGGGTCTTGCTATACAGTAGCCCTTCCTGGCCCCAAACTCTGTAATCCTGTCACGGTGTCTTAGTTACTTTTCTGTTGCTATGATAAAACACCATGACCAAGGCATCTTCTAGACGGAAGAAGGGTTTATTTGAGCCTACGGTTCCAGAGGGGTGAGAGTTTGTCACCAGCAAGGTGGCGAGGTAGGGAGCAGCAGGCATGTTGGCTGGAGCAGCGAGCCAAGAGCTTATTTCCTGAACCGCAGGTGTGAAACAGAACAACTAGAAATGGTGTGTGTGTTGTTTTTAATCTAAGTCTCAGTCTTACAATTTTACCAAGAGAGACGTAGGAGTCAGATCCTGGGGTGAAAATCTGCTGGCTCAGAGAGGCCGAGAAGCAACCAACTGTCCTTCCTCCTTAGCTAGTGTCTCAGAAAAAGAGCTTCTCTTCCACTGGTCCACACCGAAAGGCTGCCAGACTCAGTGTCCTTCCTCACTACTCCCTGTGTGCTTCCTGTGTGTTCTCCATCCACTCTCCTGACTGCCTCTTACTCTCTATGACTGCTTCCCACCAGCTAGTTGCTAGCTCTGCCTCTTGATCTGAGGTTGATTTTATTTAATTAGCACAATCTTGAAATTCACAGTGTGATCAGTTATCCCACAACAGGTATGGGTTTTTAAGCTCTCAAAGCCTGCCTCCAGTGCCATCGTGCCCCCAAGAAGCCCACACCTCCTAAACCTCCCAAACAGTGCTACCAACTGGGAACAAAGTGTTCTAATACACGAACCTATGGGGGACATTATTTAAAGCAGCACACACAGGATCTCCCCAGTTCTGGCTGGGATTACAGATGTTTGCCTTCACACAAGGGCAGAACCCCAATATCCGAACATCAACACCAACGTCAAGACTAAGGATTTTGGAGTTATTCCTCTATTCTCTCTCCCATGTCAATGACCCACAACAAGGCTACTTTGTGTGCTCAGGGTGACCCTGGTGGCCAATGGATGGTCTGAATGCGTGTCCTCTGCTCCTCTCAGGAAACCTGACGGTATGGTTAGGTAGCCTCTTCTCCTGGAGATGTCTCTCCACAGAAGTCAGAATAGACATTGTGTGTGAGGCCAGCTGCAGCAAATCCTACCCTCCCACTCCAATCATGCCAGGCTCCACCGTCATCTGGATCTGCCCTTCGCTGTCCCCCACGTTTGACACCACTGAGCACTGCTCACCCCAGCTCGCCTTTCTTCTCTGGCTTTTGGAATCTACTTAACTTTGCAGCTTGGGACACGCGCGCCCGCACATATACACACATGCTCACGCACATACACATGCACACACACACACCCACACACGTGCATGCTTGGTCCACAAGGAAGCTCTGCATCGTCCCATTGAGCCTTGCACATGCCAGTCAATCAGTCATGACTCTATGCTAGAGTTTTGGGTTGCTCGGTTTTGTTCTTGCAGCAAGCATGGCCTTACAACACATCCCTGGCTGATCTTGACCTCGCTATATAGCCTGGACTGGCCTTGAACTCACAGTTCCAAATGCTGAGATTACAGGCACACCACCATGCCTGGCTTTTCATCTTGTACTTTGTGAAGTTCATTGTTGACAGTGAACTGGGGAATTTTTTTATGTGCATATCTTGCCAGGTTATTTTAAGAAGTTAATGACAGGATGAATAAAGCAGCCTAGGACGTTGAATTCTCCCACCCCTTCTCTGATCCTAGTCCTCTGCCAAAGAACTAGGAACATGTTTTCCCTGACTTCTTCCTCCTCTGCCTGAGCGATTCAGAGTCTTGCTATAACAGCTTCTTAATTAACTTTTGTTGATTGAATTAGTGGGCAGGAAAGTGAATGAGCAACAGGCATTCTTCTGAGAATGTCTGACAGAGGTGGTGTTTGTTATAAGGCTAGTTTCAGCTGCAGGGCTCTGAAATGTCACACGTCACTAGGATGTGTTTTCAAAAGTGGCCTGTCATCGCAAGTGCCCGGGCGTGACTCTGGCTCTGATGGGCTATTCAGAAGTTCATGCTCAAGTTCTTCAAGAGTCTTGAATTCTCAAAAGCATATTATTTGTTTACTAATATCAAACTCATTCATTTTATTTTATGTCTGAGTGTTTTGCCTGCATCTGTGTATGTGTGCCTCGTATGTGCTTCGTGTCTGAGGAGATCAGAAGAGGGCAACGGATCTCCACGGATCTCCGGGAACTGGAGTTAACAATGGTTGTGAACCATCATGTGGATGCTGGGAACTGAACCCAGGTCCTCTGAAAGAGGATCTTGCTGAGACATCTCTCCAGCCCTTCGAAAACATATTTAATGGAAGAAGCTTGAATTATGTGCAGTCTCGGTGCTCTGTTTGAGACAATGGCCTTAAGTGAGAGGTGGCGACCACTTTTTCTGCATAGCTGCTCTGCTGCGGAGTGAACAGGCTTGCTTGAGTTGGATATATTAGAATCAACTTTTCAAAACCCCATTAAATTGTCGAGAGAAGAATAGGGTTTCTAAGTTAATTTATGGTCACAGTGTTAACGCCTGCTGTTTTCTCCCTAATTTTTCTCTTATGAAAAGAAATAAAATGGTTTCTCTGAATGGCTTGCTTTTGAGACGGGCTCTCACTGTGCAGCTTCTGGCCGGAACTCACTGTGGAGAGCAGGCTTCAACTCACAGAGGTCTGCCCGCCTCTTCCTCCTCCACGCTGGGGTTAAAATGATGAGCAGTCATAACTATGCCTTTTTTCTTCAAGCCCTCTATTACTGTGGCTAGGTCAACTAAATTAATTCGTCTATTACAAATGCAGCCATGTTTGGGGGGTCAGGAAGTCCCGTGACCAATGTCCTGAGACCCGAGAGTGCCCTTCTTCAGATATGAAATAGGGAGAACCCTGTTTGCTAGACGCCTGGGCAGATATCTGGAACCAGAGGACTATTTGGAGCCTTTCAACCCACTCACATGACAGCCTTTCCACCCGGAAGAGTTACAGTCTCCAGAACATGGCACAGCTGGCTCTGAGGTGGATCCTCCCAGGGACAAAAGATAAAGCACGCAGAATCTACTGCTGTCCAGTGTCCACACAGAACAGAAACTGCCCCAGCTAGTACAGGCAAGTCACACAAAGGTGGTCAGGCTGCAGAGGAATTTTACACTTGCTGACAAGGGCCTTGTTTGGGTAGGGATCCTGTCCTCTCATTCCTCATTTTCCCTCTGTACCAGGGGACATCCAGGAAGGAAATACCACTGTCCCTCTTCATTTAAGAGAGAAGAGACTTGGGTTTGCCCTGGCAGTGTTAGGAGTCTGTGCTGCATCTATCCATAGCTAAGATGAGCCTCAGGCAGGAGGCCCTAGATAGGGTGACAGTCTCAATAACCCAGGACTGCGTGGTTTCAGAACAAAATTTTCATCTCTGAGTTCCAAGCGTATTTGGACAATTTGTCATTCTAAGACAAACTATGTGTTATAAAATGGGCACCAGCTGGCACCCCCCCACACACACACACACTGAATGCCCAGGCTCCCTGGACAGCCCAGGGACTAATGTTTCATGTAGGAAGTCCTGAGTGTCCTGCGCTGGGTCATCAAAGATGTCTGCTCTGAAGATTCCTGACTGAATTTGTGCACACATTTGTCATCACTTGAGGGGGCTCTCAATCCAGGTCTTTCTGAGTTGTTGTTGTTGGTGGTGGTGGTGGTGGTGGTGGGTGTGGGGTGAGTGTGCGCGCACAGGTACATACATGGCAGGGATGTGTGGGAACCAGATGTCATCCTTGGCTGTCTTCCTCAGCACTTTCCACGTTGTGTTTTGAGACAAAGTCTCTTTCCTGGAGCTCACTGATTGGCTAGACTGGCTGGCCAGTGAGCCCTAGGCAGTCCACCTCTTTCCACGTCCCTGGCACTGAGACTGGAAGCATGGGCCACCACGCCCAGCTCTTTCTCGTGGGCTCTAGGGGTCAAGCTCGGGGCATAGCAGCAAGCACTTGGCTAATCAGGCCATTTCTCTGGGCCTCTATTTTTCCATCTAGAAACGTATGCTCACCCTGTCTGGAGTGTGGAAGATGCGAAGGAAAGTTTGTAAATTAAGTGTCTGTTCAACACAGAATTGCTTCATTAAAGAGAGTTTGGCATACAGCAAAGGCATTTGTATCCCAAGAGCCTTCTCCACGAAGTAGGCAATGGTAGGTTTAGATGCCTGTTGCGGTGCTCTGGTCCTCACGGGCCTAAGTCTATGGTTTTGGTCTCTTTCAGAACAGCCCCAAGTGAAGGGATCCTCTTCCTGAAGGAGGGGATCATGGCTTCCTTGTTGCTCGCCCGGCGTGTGGCCTGCAGCTCCCAGAAAAGCTTCTGCCTCTTCACACCTGGTAAGCCCCCAAGAAACACACTGAAGACGAGGGGTCTCTGGTCAGAGTCTTCAAGGATAGAAAGATCTGGCTGCTTCTGGTGCTTTCCTAGTGTTCATCAGTGAGACTATCACCATAACTACCACTTCATCACCCCGCCCACAAATGAACAGTTCTCACAGAGGAAGGGAGTTGATGGGACTGAGAGCCGTTCTGCTCAGGGATGGTGGCCTCTAAGGACCTGGAAAGAAAGACACTCAGCTGGGGTTGGTCCCAAGGAATAAAGAAAGCCACAAAAATGAGGCTGTGGGTGTGTGTGGCTGAGTGGCAGAGTGCTTTCCTAGCAAACACTAAGCTCAGGGTTTACACCCAGCACTGTATACACTGGGGCTTTGGGCTGAGGAGGCGGCTCATTAGAAAATAAATTTGCTGTGAGTGAGAACTGGAACTCAGATCTTCACACAAAAGCTAGTGGGTGTGGCAGCCTGCTTATAAATCCAATCTTTAGGAGTTGGACAGAGGAAATTCCAGGGCAGGGCGGCTAGTCCAACTAGGGAGATCAGTCCAGGGATCATTAGGATACCCCGGACAGCTAGTTAGACCAGTCACATCAGCCCAGGGTGCATCAGGAGACCCCGGGACAGCTAGTTAGACTAGTCACATCAGCCCAGGGTGCACCAGGAGACCCCAGGACGGCTAGTTAGACTAGTCACATAAGCCCAGCATGCATCAGGAGACCCCGGAACAGCTAGTTAGACCAGTCACATCAGCCCAGCGTGCATCAGGAGACCCCAGGATGGCTAGTTAGACTAGTCACATCAGCCCAGCATACATCAGGAGACCCAGGACGACTAGTTAGACTAGTAAGATTAGGGTTCATTAGGGTGCCTCAGTAGGAGAACAATTGAAGAAGACACCTGGCCTCAGCTTCGAGTGTCCCAACACACAATATTCATTCACACACAAATATACAAATGGGTGAAGTGGTAACCACCTTTAATCACAGAACTCAAGAGTTCAGGTCAGGATGATCAGGAATTCCAGGTCATCCTCAGCTGTATAGAAAGTCCAAGGATAGCCTGGGTACATGAGACATGTCAAAAAAAAAAAAGCTGACGTCACAAGCATGATACCAATGGCCAAATAATTCCAGCATCCAGGAGATTAAGTTGGGAGGGTCAGGAGTTCAAGTACAAACTTGGCTAGAAAGGAAAGAAGGAAGGGAGTGAGGAAAGAAAGAAGGGGAAATGAAAAGGAAAAGTGACTGAACAGATGAACCTCCAGCTGATATCTGTCTGGCTCGAGTGTTTGGGCACTGAACTCCTGCTGTGAACTCTGACCCACCCACGCCCTCTAATCAAGCACACCGTGGGACTGTCTCGCAGTGCTGACCTGCAGCGAGCCAGGAATCCGTCACCAAGTCATTAATTGTACTTTTATTTTGAGACAAGGTCTCTTTAGCCTATTAGCTCTGTAATCCCTGCACCCAGAAGGCTGAGGCAGAAGGATTGTGAGTTTAAGGTCAGTCTGGGATGCTACACACAGAGTTCCACACCAACATCATGAGATCTTGTCTCAAAAACAAACAGGAAAGGGCTGAGGCGATGACTGGGCTGCAGGAATTGAACTCAGGGAGTCAGGCTTGAGTATCAAGTGCTTTTACCAGATGAGCCAGCTCTCCAGTCTTGATAAAAAGAGGGCTTGCCACACAAGTGTGAGGATCAGCACCCATGTGAAATCTGGGTGTGTGAAGGCTGGGAACAGAGGTACACTTCTGTAATTCAAGCATTGTAAAAGGAGGCAAGGGAGTCCCTAGGGTTTCCAGCTAGCTAGTCTAGCCAGACCAAGAGTTCCAGTTCACTGAGAGACCCTGCCCCAAAATATGTGGTGAAGGGATGGAAGTTACTACCCTACTTCAACACATGCACCTTACACATCCACACACACACATATGTACATATCCCATCCACATGTGCATGCATGCACACACACACAGACACACACACCACACACACACTTACAGACACAGACATACACACCACACACACACATACACACAGACAGACACACACACCACACACACAGACACACACACCAAACACACACAGACACAGACATACACACACCACACACACAGACACACATAGACATACACACAGAGACACACACATACAGACACACTCACAGACACACACAGAGAGACACACACACACCACAGACACAGACATACACACACACATACACGCAAACATACACACTCACACACAGACACACATTAAATGAGTGAATAAATGAGAGGAAGAGCAAGGCAGGGCTCTAGTTGGATTTTACCTTGACATTATTAGGTTCACATACAGGACAATTGTTTTCTGGGAATAGTATTTTCATTTAATTTTCATTTATTAAGCTCAGCTGGTAAAATCACTTGCTACATGTGCTGGCTAGTTTAATGTCAACTTGACACAAACAAGAATCGTATGAGAAAAGGGAACCTCAACTGAGAAAATGTCTCCGTAAGATCTGACTATAAGACATTTTCTTAATTAATGATTGATGGAAGAGGGCCCAGCCCATCGTCGATGGGGTCATCCCTGGGATGGTGGTCCTGGGGTCTCTAAGAAAGTAGACTGAGCAAGCCACGATGAGCAAGTCAGTAAGCAGCTGCCCTCCATGGCCTCTGCATCAGCTCCTGCCTCTATGTTCCTGCCCTTTGTGTGAGCTCCTGACTTCCTTCAGAGATGAACAGTGATATGGGAGTGTAGCCCAAATAAACCCTTCCCTTCCCAACTTACTTTTGGTCATGGCATTTAACACAGCAATAGAAACCCTAACTGGACACCACTCAAGCCTGACAACTTAAGTTCAAAATGCAGGCTGAAAGCCAGATTTGGGGAGAGGAGTGTTTAGTTATAATGCCAGCCCTCCTGTAACAGATGCAAGAGAACTGGCCAGAAACGTGAGGGCTAGCTAGCCTGGAGTGTGCAGCGCAGCAGCAGAAATAGCAAGAAACCCTGTCTCAGTTGGGGAGGTGGGGAGAGACAAGAAAGGGAGGACTCCTAAAAGTTGCCCTTTGACTTTCACACACTCCCTGAGGCATGTATGCCCCATCATGCACATGGCACACGCATGCCCCATCATGCACATGGCACACGCATGCCCCATCATGTACATGTCGCGTGTGTGTGCATGCACACACATTCTGAACAAACTAAAAGTTATTTTCAAAGATCAAGACGACATTAAGGGTGGGATGGTGATGGCACATGCCTTTATTCTACGTGGGAAGTGGAGGCAGGTGGATCAGAGGGCTGACTCAGTGGACCTCTGTCTACTGTGCCCATTCTTGTGTGCCACAACACACTCTGCTTTCTACAGACCTTTTTCTTCTCTGTGATTCTGATAAGAATTTGAATCTAGGAGACATGTTGTTTTTGCTGAACCACCAGATGAGGTGGCAGGGTACCCACAGGGTCTGAGGAGGAGTCAGAAAAGCAAGTGTTCGGGTTAATCAGCAGTTAGCTGCATGAGCCTGTCCCTCTAACTAACCTCTCTGACCTCATATCCTCAGTAATGTAAGCATAATATTTACCTTGTGCCGAGCTGCTAGATCTGATCTTTTTTAATTTTTTTTTTAGATGTGACTTTTTAAAAAAATTACTTTTTTGGGAGAAAATAAAGACTTTTATATTCTCCCTGGGGAAAGCTAGAGAACTTCTCAAACCTCCCCCTCGGCTGGAAATTGAACAAAGCTGACTTGGTGAAAAGTTCTTTTCATCTGAATTTACATTCATATTCTACATTGTTGGAATCAATGCTGTAACCCTGAGTCCAACTGTGGAAAGAGTGAATAATTTAGCATTCAAAGGTCACCACCACTTGAGGGCTGGAGAGATGGCTCGGTGGTTCAGAGCACTTGTTCTTTTTTTTTTTTTTTTTTGGTTTTTCGAGACAGGGTTTCTCTGTGGTTTTGGAGCCTGTCCTGGAACTAGCTCTGTAGACCAGGCTGGCCTCAAACTCACTGAGATCCGCCTGCCTCTGCCTCCCGAGTGCTGGGATTAAAGGCGTGCGCCACCACCGCCCGGCTCAGAGCACTTGTTCTTGCGGAGGACCAGGTTTGGTTTCCAAAACCCGCATAGTGATTTATAACTATCTATGCCTCCAATTGCAGTGGATCTGACGCCCTCTTCTGACCTGCTCAGGCTCCAAGTACACACATGATGCAGGCATGCATACATACATGCAAAACACTCACATATAAAACTAGTGAGAGAATCTAACTTTAAAAGTCCACTGAATTCTATAATGTTTAACTCTTTCAGTGGAATGAACTCTAGAAACTTCCTTTTCGGAGTCAAAAGGAAAGAAAAGCTGCTTTCTTCGTACTGAAGCAGTTGTGTATCCTAACTGCTTCCGAACACAGCACTGCAACCCTGCCTCACATCCTGCCATCACTTGGGAAGCTTCTGATACCCAAAGCAACTAAGAGAGTCGAGAGTGGGCTCAGATGTGTTTTCTAGATCTGTCTTACACATATTTATTGACAACTTAGCCTTCCTGTAGAATGCTGATGGGATTTATTTTTTAATTTTTTTATTGATTTTTATTGAGCTATACATTTTTCTCTGCCTTCCACCCTCTCCCATGGTCCCCATGCTCCCAGTTTACTCAGGAATCTTGTCTTTTTCTATTTCCCCTGTAGATTAGATCTATGTATGTCTCTCTAAGGGTCCTCATTATTGTCTGGGTTCTCTGGGATTGTAAATTTTAGGCTGGTTTTTCTTTGTTTTATATCTAAAAGCCACATATGAGTAAGAACATATGATATTTGTCTTTCTTGGTCTAGATTACTTCACTCAATATGATGTTTTCTAGATCCATTCATTTGCCTGCAAATTTCAAGATGTCATTTTTTTCTGCTGTGTAGTACTCCATTGTGTAAAAGTACCACATTTTCCTTATCCATTCTTTGGTCAAGGGGAATTTAGATTGTTTCCAAGTTCTGGCTATGACAAACAATGATGCTATGAACATAGTTGAGCACATGTCCTTGTGGCACGATTGAGCATCCTTTGGGTATATACCCAAAAGTGGTATTGCTGGGTCTTGAGGAAGGTTGTTTCCTAATTTTCTGAGAAATCGCCACACTGACATCCAAAGGGACTGTACCAGTTTCCACTCCCACCAGCAATGGAGGAGTGTCCCCTTTACCCCACATCTTCTCCAGCATAAGTTGTCAGTGTTTTTGATCTTGGCCATTCTTACAGTTGTAAGTTGGAATCTCAGATTTGTTTTGATTTGCATTTCTCTGATGACTAAGGATGTTGAACATTTCCTTAAGTGTCTTTCAGCCATTTTAGATTCCTCTGTTGAGAGTTCTCTGTTTAGGTCTGTACTCCATTTTTTTAATTGGATTATTTGTTCTTTTGATGACCAATTTCTTGAGTTCTTTGTATATTTTGGAAATAAGCCCTCTGTCCAATGTGGGGTTGGTAAAGATCTTTTCCCATTCTGTAGGCTGCCATTTTGTCTTAAATACAGTTCCTCATGTTGTGGTGACTGCCCAACCATAAAATTATTTCATTGCTATGTCATAACTGTAATTTTGCTACTGTTATGAATTGGAATGTAAATATCTGATATGCAGGATATCCAATATATGACCCCAAAGGGGTCATAACCCACAGGTTGAGAACCGCTGGCACAGACAAATCTTAGATGTATCTGTGAGGGAGTTCTAGATTAGGCTGAGGTGGGTTTTCCAAAAGACCCACTTTGACCGTGGGCAGGACCATTCCAAGCACTGGGATCTCAAACTGATTAAAAAGGGGAAATCAAAGCCCAGCAATGGCAGTGCACCCCTTTAGTCCCAGCACTCAGGAGGCAGAGGCAGGCAGATCTCTGAGTTTTTGAACTGGCAGGACAGCTCAGCAGTTTAAAGCATTTGCTATTCAAGAGTACAATCTAGGTTCAGTCACAGTGAAAGGGAAGAACTCTCTCCCCAAGTTGTCCTCTGACCTCCACACACACACGCTGTGTTACACTTCAGCATGCACACGTGTGCACGCATATGCACAGGCATGCACACTGAGCATGAATCCTAGGGCCACCTTCATGTTAAGAGCTCAGTACACTGGGTCCATCATTTACTGACTGTGTGTCATCAAAAAGTGCAGAGGGGGGGGGAATGACTCATCAGATGGGCTTGGGTCCCAGCACCCACATGGCAGCTCACAACCACCCAGTTCCAAGGAATCTAACACCTTCTGACCGCCAGGCACTGCACGCTCATGATGCACATAGGTTAAGCCAGCAAACACACATGGAACAGGAAGCTGGGTCAGCTCAACATGTTCCCTTGGATGGGAGCATTTCCTACAGCTTTACTGGCTGTGCATGGCTTTCCCCATTTGTGGAATCTTTATTGTTCTCCCAGGGTCTTGTTTGTTCAGAAGCAGTCTTCCTGGATGGACTTGTCAGAACAAAGCTGAGATCCTGGGGCCACCTGTTAAGGACTGAGGGCATCTGTTGGGGCTGATCCTCCTTGTGTCTTGTCACCAGGGGTTCTCATTTGTCTTTTGTATGACAGGATCTAGATATATCAGTCAAGCTGCTGCCAAAGTTGACATTGAATTTGATTATGATGGGCCACTGATGAAGACAGAAGTCCCGGGGCCGCGATCTCAGGTGAGTCAACCACACCTAAGACAAAGGCCCAGCAGGCAGGTGCGCGGACAGCTTGGCATACGTTCTGAGCCTCTACTAAAGATGTGTATAAAAACAACTCAGTGTCTCAGGATGTTGCCTGACAGTCAGTCATAGATTGCGGACATGTGGCTTTCAGATTGCTCATGCGTTTAGAGCTAACCAGCAGTTAGGTAGGTGGCCTTGCTGGAGCCATCTGCAGGCCTAAGGTGGAGCTGGCTGTCAGCCGGTGCAGTTTCTGCCTGCAGTAACTCGCCTCTGCTCCGTGGGTCGCCGTTCCTCCGGCTTGTCACACTGGGCTTATTCTGATCTTACTGTAAGTCCACTGAGACTGAAACTTCACACTGGCTTTCAGATGTCCCCACCTTAGTCCCTTGGCCAAAGCAAGTCCATTGGGTCACTGTCAGTCCAGAATTAAGGACTGGGGCTGAACTCACAAGCGACACTGAAAGTCGAGGCATAGGGCCGGGTATCAAAGACAACTGACTTTGGTCTTGAAGGACAAAGATAAATCTAACATAAAGAAGGCAGTCTGTACAAGTGATAACAAAGCCGAACTTGGGGAAGGAGAAGAAGGAGAGAGACAGGAAGAGAACTTGGGGTGTGGAATGAGGGTAGGGAAGCAATGTAAACAGAGGTGCCATGGTAAGATTCATCACTTTGCCAACTCTGCTATTCAGACAGATTCTGACTAGTGGGGATTTGAGGTGTGTTCTACTGCTTTCAAGAATCCCGGCTACAAAAAGTGGAAATTAGTTTGAGGGGAGGAAGCACAGCAGTTTCTGAACTGGAAGGTTTGTTGAAGATGCTGCATTTGCACCTCAGATGGTGGGTGTACTGGACAATTGGTGGTGAGAAACACATGGATCATTGCTGAAATGGCAGTAAAGTAAAGCCATACAAGACCTTGAAAAAAAAAAGATTCATCACTTTGTAGTCTAGCTCAATTAAAAAATAATAGTAATAAGATGGGACCTTCAAGCCCAGCTTGAAGATGTTCAAGCTGGGATGGTGTCTCACACCTGTAATCCCAGCAGTTGGGAGGTGAAAGCAGATGGACCAGGGGTCATCCTCTGCTGTGTACAGAGTTCAAGGCCAGCCTGAGATACCTGGGAGGTTCCTTCTATAAGAAGGCAAGAGATGTGGTACAAAAAAGAGAGAGGGAGATGGTACAAACCTTTCAGGGCTTAGGGTTTTTCTCCCTCTGATTTAGCATGTTTTTTTCCACAGTTGGATGCGGTCTTATTTACTGTGAAAAGATCATTCATTTTGCTATAGCATCTGTTCAGAAATATTTATCTTAATGTGTTTCTATTTCTTTTGATGGTTTTCATCAGACAGAAGGAGAGAGCTTTTCATGCATATTCCTGTTGGGGTGGATTCTAATTCAATAGAGAAATGCCTAGAATAACTTCTCATATTTTGTTGTTAATATTATTTTATATTTTTGTGTGGAGATAAGTAATGTCAAAATGCTAACTGCTAAAGTCTCTTTTACGCTGAATTATTTGGGGGGCTGAAATCTCGCTAATATCAAGGCAACTGGTTTTCAGTTCCTAGTTTCTGTTTGGAATAGGGAAAGTGAGTTGTAATCAGAAGTGGCACTTTGTTGAGCAAATTAATGTTGTCAGTTGGTTTTACCCTCCTTTCCTGATAAGGGAGTTACATCTTTTCTTTCTTTCCTCCCCTAATGCTGGAGATCAAACTTATAATGCAGGACCTTGTGCATACTTGGCAAATGCTTTACCACTGAGTGTCTAATTAATCATTTTCTGTGCATGGGTGTTTTGTCTGCATGTAAGTCTGTGTACCATGTCCTGGAAGCGGTGGTTAGTTCCCTTAGAACTGGAGTTACAGACAGTTATGAGCTGCCATGAGGATGCTGGGGACTGAACCCGGTTCAATGCTCTTAACTTCTGAGCCATCTCTTCAGCCTGACTGAGCTTTTTCAAAATGAGGACCTGGGCTAGCACATTTGGCTGATACAGACGCCAGCCACTAAGGCCGTCACTGGGGTTGGTTTCCGGTAACTCACCATACAGTGGACGGAAAGGGCTGATCATGCAAATTCCTCTGACTTTCACGTGTGCGTTATGGTGGATGTGTACTCACTCGCCCACAAACAAAATAAATAAAATAAATAAAAATGTAAAATAAAACAAGGGCTAGTGACGTAGCTTGGTGGTCAAGCACTCACCCAGCATGGGTAAGACCCTGGCTTCTGTCCCTAGCACCACAGAAAAAGAAGAGCAGGTCCTTTACTTTTGGATATTAAATGCGTTCAGCACAATTTTTTTGTTACATATGTACAGACTGGGTGTGGTGGCCCAGAGCCCTTGATCCCAGAACTCTGAAGTAGAGGCTGACCTAGTGTACTTACTGAGTTCTTAGGCCAGCAAAGCTACACAATTAGACCCTGTCTCAAAAATAAATTTTCACCGCCTTTTCTTTCCCAGTTATTTAAATACAGATCTCCAATCTATCTGTTGTAATTGCCACTTACTGTGCTGTAGAGTAGGTTTTTATCAATTATTTGTATTAAGTCACTTTTAAAATATTTATTTATAATGTTGACTAATAGTCTGTCAAGTTCTTGGCATCAGAGTGGAAAACAAGGCCTCAAGAACTGGGACAGCAAGGGAGATGTTTAAGGCCCCCTGGCAGGGGTGTGCAGTCCATGCTGATGCTTCTGTTCTTGTCTGCAGGAGTTAATGAAACAGCTGAACACAATCCAGGTAAGTGGGCACAAGGTGATTCCTTCTCCTGCTTCTTTTTTTAAATTGATTTTGTTTATGTGTGCATATTTTATTTATATGTGCATGTGTGTAGTTGCCCATGGAGGCCAGCAGAGGGAGTCAGAGCCCCCTGGAGCTGGAGCTGCAGGCCGATGTGACGAGCCTCACGGGTCCTCTGCATGAGCAATAACAGCTCATAACCACTGAGCCGTCTCCAGCTTGTGCTTCATTTCTCTAATTTCTGTTCATTTCTAGCTTTCTTAGTGGCTTCTCCGAGGCTTACCACACATCCACACATTCTTGAACTTGTCAGAACTTGCTTCTGAGTTAAGTCTCAACCTTTTTTGTTATGATAAACAAACCAGACCCAAAATTTCACAAAACCCAAGACCATGGTTTCGCAAACCAATTTAAAGCAGGCCACTTGTGTGTTCTTTCCCAGAGAAAGACGTAGAAGCTTGCCAGCACCCACAGATCCTCACGAGGTGCGGAGCAAACAGGATGTAGTCTGTTTCCACAGTCCAAGCTTATTCCTAAAAGACTAAGAATCTGGGCAGTAGAAACCAGCCTGAACCAGTTTCCTCTTTCCCAAGAACGCAGAGGCTGTGCACTTTTTCTGCAACTATGAAGAAAGCCGGGGCAACTACCTGGTGGATGTGGACGGCAACCGCATGCTGGACCTGTATTCTCAGATCTCCTCTGTCCCCATAGGTAAGTGTGGGGCAGTCACCTCCCACTCTCTTTTTCTTATGATCTCAAGCTTTGGATGTTTGTCCTCGGTGTTTTACTAGCCTCTCTCCCAAGGGTAAGTGAGTGAACAAGTAATGGTGGAAAGAAGATGGTTCGACATTGTTTTGTTGTTGCTATGGGTTTCCTTTTAATTTTAAGTATGGGGTGCTTTGCTCACATGTCTGTATGTGCACCACCTGTGTGCAGTACCTACAGAGGCCTGCAGGGGGCACTGCACCTCCTGGAATGCAAATTACAGATGATTGTGAGCCTCCATTTGAATGCTGGAAGTAAAACCATGGCCTCTAGAAGAGTAGCAAGTGCTCTTAAATGTTGAGTTATCTTTCCAGTCCCTAGACATTGTTTGTTCATGTTATTTTTAAGATTTATTTTAATTATGTATTTGTATGTGAGTACAGGTACTCATGGAATCCCTAAAGCTGGAGTCACAGATGGTTGTGAACTGCCTACTATGGGTGTGAACTGTCTAATATGCATGTGAACTGCCTGCTATGGGTATGAACTGTCTATTATGGGTGTTGGAAATTGAACCTGGATGTTCTTCAAAAGCAGAGAGTGCTCTTAACCACTGAGCCACAGCTACAGGCCATTAGACATTGTTGCAAATAATAAAGATTCTTTACAGGTTTGGTAGGCAGACGTGATGCAATCAACTTCAGGTGATCAGATCCTTTCATGACTCTGGCACTCAAAGTGAGGGAAGCTGGGATAGGAGATCCAACAGCAACTCAGAGCAAAAGAGATCCTTCCGTTTATAGTCTTTAGAGGGTAGGAGTCACTGAGCTTAAGGGAATGAATGGTCTCCGAGCTTAGCGGGTTAGTGAAGGTACTGGATAGCATATAAGGCAGTGATTTAGGAAGCTGGCCCTCTTGCCCCACCCTGCCTTGTCTATGAGATGCTTTGCAGCTTGGGGAAGGTACTCAGCAGGTGCAGCCTCTGATCTACCACATAGTAGGTCCTTCTCTCCTTTCCTCCTCCAGATCTCACCAGATGAGTGTGCATGCCTTTCTCCCGCAATTTTGCCACTAGGTGAAAACAGCTAGAATGGGTAGACCTGCAGAGCAATCATGGCTCAATGGAGTTGGCTAGGCTGGGTTTCCTGTCAGAGCCTGAGGCGAGGATTCTTCAAGTAATCATCTGAGGAAAAGCCCCAACTGAAAGGGAAGACAGGAAAATAGTGCCAGATCAAAAGAATGGGGTCTTTGCTAGAACCACAGCCTGCTCTCACAGGAGACTCTGCCAGACTGGGGCAGATCGCTGGCCCTTTTGCACCCCTGAGCAGGCCGTTCATTGCCTATCTGCTGCCAGGGGAGGCCCAGCAAAGCGACTTCCATGATACAAAGCGGTTTCCAGAGGAGGCAGTTGGAGCCATTTTCAGCCAACACAGACAGCAGCTGGAATCTGGGGATGATCTGCCAGGAAAATGTGACCTCAGTGGATGCTAGCAGCACCTGCCTCAGCTGGGCTCACCTCCGGGCCAGACGGAGCTGACACAGACAATGGGACAGACAGGGTTAATTTGGAAATGAGGTAGTGTCATTTGCAGCTTGGATGGTTATTGTCCCTGTGGTTGATAGATGCCCAGCTGTGTACAAAGACGATACTGCTTGTCTACTGTAAAGGAGACAGGCATGGGGGCGTTGGTCCTGATGCCCATATCTCCTGGCACCCTGGGAACTTCCCTAACTCCCAGCCTTGGGTGCCCATTCTTCCTCTCCCTCCCCAGCACTTGTCCTCAGACCTAATTTCCTATTGAGATGTGACCAAACACCAACAGTGACTCACCCTTCAGGGCTGCCTCGGTCTCTGAAAGCACTGAGGATTTGAAGGCTTACAAACCCCTTCTCCCCTTGGTTGCTGTCTGTTGTTGTTTAGTTTTATATTTATTTATTGTGTGTGTGTGAGTGCACATATGTATGCTGAGGTGCAAGTGTGGAGGTCAGAGGAAAATCTGCAGAAGTCAGGGCTTTCCTTCCACCACGTAGGTTCCAGGGACTGAACTCAGATCATCAGACTTGGCAGCAAGCACCTTTATCTGCTCAGTCATCTCAATGGCCTCCACGCTGGTTTTGAGCTCACCCCCAAGGGCTAGCAAAGGCGTGCACTACCAACCCAGCTTCCAGATATATTTTAAGCCAATCCTCAGCAGGAATTTACCAGCCAAGTGCTTCACACGTTAATAGATGGTCATGGCTGCCCTAGTATAGGGTCTTTTGATAGTACCCTCAACTGACCTCATTTTAGACTCTAGTAGGTCACAGAATCTGCTTGGCGGTACGCGGAGTCTGAGGTCCTGCCAGGACACGGACAGTGAGCCCACTCTTATGTCCTTATGGAGCAGCCTTGCAGACACCTGCCCTGCTATGGGGGTCCGACAACTCAAAGCCAAGTTGAAGGTTCCCTAATCCGAGTCCTGTTTTCATCTCCTTTGGGAGCCAATGAGTCTGCCTCTGCAATTTAATGAGGCTTCCTGGGACCAGGCTTATCTACTGAGGCAGAAAAGCCATAAACACCCCGGCAGCATGATAAGCCAGAACTCTGGCCAGAAAACGGTTGGAAAAACCCAGAGAGTGTTCTCTCCTTGAGTGATGAGCAGTGTCTAGTCCCGAGCCCTGCAAGCCTCGCGTGGGCTAGGGAAGAGACCGAAATACGCTAATTCCCTCCCTGGTTTTCCTGCTTCAGTGCCCTCGGCTACCTCCCCTCCCCCGCAAACCTGCTCTCCACAGTCAGCACAGTGAAACCAGAGTCTCCATGGGTGGTGCTGGGTGTTTAATACTTGTCTACGCAGTGTTTTAGGAAGAGCAGGCCGGGTCCAGAGCCTCAGGCAGACAACGTAAAGATTGTTCCCACTGCTCTCAGCTGCTAGCCTCAGTGATATGAAGTCTCCTTTCAAAGTAAATGTATTTCAGCTAAAAAGTCCATGTCTTCCTCCAGTGAAGGTGCTAAGACAAAATCCTGGAGACAGAGTAGCTTATAAACTGGTTTCTTCCAGTTTTCAAAACTGAGAGTCCAAGATGCAGGCATGACAGGTGGAATGTCTTCCTGGGACAAGGTGGTGCCTTTCCACAGTGTCCTCACAAGATGGGAGGCTGAAGACACCCTTGATTTTTTTTTTTTTTTTTTTTTTTTTTTTTTTT